CACGGGCCTTCATCTAATTAATATAGAAAATTTTAGTTCGTGTCTGGTTCTATACATCCACTTCCCACTACGTCTTCACGGTGTAGTGTTTAATAAGTTAAGCGCAGTAGCGTAGTTGATTGGGGCATTATACTGCAAGGTCATGGGTTCGATTCCGGATGAAGTCGTTGGATTTTTCTACAGGTATTGGCAGTGCATGCTGGTCACGGTAGCCGAGCGGTCTAAGGCATGTACTGTCTTCGCTCACTTGGAAACCGGGATCGTGGGTTCGAATCCCACTCAGGGCATGGATGTTTGTATACAGGTAGAGGCCTTGCGACGGGCTGATCACCCGCCCAAGGAGTCCTACCGAATGTGTAAGATCTAGAAACACCGAAGTGAACGGAGAAGTTCATGGAGGTAGGCCTAGGCCCACTGGGGCTGTAGTGCCAAGGAAAGAAATCGGCCATGCATAACTTCTCTCAGTCGCCATGTGACTATCGTCAGGTCGCATGACAACTCAGAAAACCGTCGCAAGACGCCGAGAGATGCACAATCGCAGTGTGAGAGGTTAAATGGAACAAGCCAACCAGTCCCAAAACATCAGTGTAAGCTTTGCGAAGAGGAAGTGGACACACAGTTACATATGTCAACGGTTCCTTGATTACAATTACGCACGTAAAAATCAAATCGGTTGTGCGATCCTCATCTACCTAGGGTAGTTTCAAGCGACTCCCACGCGGCCAGGAATATAACCCTCATCCTTTTGTTTCAAATTAAATGCAAACACTGACGTACGGATCGCAATTCTCCAACTCTGTTTCACTCTGGACGTTAACGATGTCCTAGTTTTTACCATAAAAAGTTATATTTCGTAATGTCGTTCTGAGTCCCGTGATTTAGACGGACTCACGGCAACGGAGTCATCAGATTAAGTTCTCCCCCTTCATTTGAAGATGGAAAGAGGAAGGGAAACGTCCGCCGTTGGAAGCCGCTACCAAGCAACGGCTAGTGAAGCCTGTGAAGACTTTGTATGTGTTGTAGTTACAGTGACCTTTGGAGTGTGTAACTCAATGAGACTGTCGTAGTTATTTGTAGTTACGTTCTGTAGATGTTCTGTAAAACCGATTACCAACGCAAACTCCGTCTATATTCACTCAATCGCCTGAGAATATGTATAGGTAATACGCCTCACCGATAAGCAATATCGCTATTCCGCGCCTGCTACTTGTAGATATCTTGGTATTGTTTTCATGCATAAGTGATGGCCTTGCAGAAACGAGAAGGCCGAATAGCAAAGTTTTGTAAAGAATAGAACATGACGTGTACTCTTACTGGGCACAAATTTATGTTATTTAGAAAAGCAAGTAAACTGAAGAAATTTCTGGCCAAAATATAGAGGTAATAAAAAGGAAATATTGAAGACAAAAGGTAATCAGGCATTAAGAGTTCTTGATCAATTTTTGGCTAGAATGATTAATATAAAATTTCGGAACGGGGTTCACTCAGCCTCGTGAGGATAATTGAGGAGCTCTTTCAAGGAAATAGCGGCTCCGGTCTAGAAACCCGAAATTAACGGCCGTGGGGATTCGTTGCGCTGACCACGTGACATCTTCTGTCCGCTAAATTTTGGCACTAACTTCGCCGACAAGCGGTGCTCGCTCGGTCGGTATAGTTCGCTTACGGACTAAAACCACGAAGTTTGTTTGTTTTTGTGTCTGTCAAGGTTTATGTTAGCTGTGGAACTACGGGTACTAGAGTGTAGGTGTAAACTAGATGAAGCATGGAAGGAAATTGACAAAGTTCATGGTCGATTTTGCAACACATTGCTACGATCACCAAAATATGCAGAGAAGGGTATGTCGAACATAGGGGTAGGGGAAACAGCAGAAGGGGAAAATGACGTTTAGGGGGGTGCAACAGGATGTCGGTAACGCGTTATGTACACCACTCGAAATATGGTCAAAAAGAAGATGAAAGCGGAGCTGAAGGAAATGGGTTTGGCAGTCGGCACGAAAGTAGGAGCAAACCTCAGATTCACTCATTACAGAACAGTGCAAGCATGTACAGAGATGAAGCTCATTTCCAATGATGAGCGAGAAGAGTGCATTAGCTTTTAACAAGAAATGTAAAAGACTTGGCGTAAAAAATGCGCTGATTTATTGTACCAGAAATGAAAGCATGGATTTGGAAACTAGGAGCGCTAAGATATGGACCAGATAAAAGCATTCGCCCTCGATTTTCAGGAAAGGGGGCCTTGAAGACACAGTGCTGAGGTGTCCGGAAACAAAATTGTGGAGAACAGAATTTTCAGGAATTAGTGTAGAAAGATAACCTGCGCAACAATTGAACTACAACAATGAGCGGTCTTTTATAAGCGGTCCGTGACGAAGTGGTAGAAGCAGGACAAGTTTAGAGTTTAGTCAGCTGTGAGACAGTTCATTGGCTGGTAAGGACTTATGCAGAGGACATTGTTAGGATCCACTACCAGGAAACGGCTAGTGAAAACAAAGTGGAAAGTCTTATTATGTGCTTAGTGAACCGCAGAGTGTGTGAATAAGTGATAATGCTATAGCTATTTGCAGTTACGATCTGTAAGCGGCCAATAAATCCAATTAACATTCCAAAATCCGCCCATTTCCACTCTAACAAGTGACCATTATCAGTTCTCACAGAGCACACATGGCACAAACAGAAAAGTAACTTCTGCCAGTTCCTGGCCTTGTATAAATCCGCCAATTGTACAGTTATTCAAGAACTTCCCAGCATTTTATGGAACCCGAATGTTCATTATCGTGTCCACAAGAGCCCTCCACTGGTCTCTATCCTGAGCCAGATCAATCCAATCCATACCATCCCATCCTATCTCTAAGATCCATTTTAATATTGTCCACCCACCTACGCCTTGGTCTTCTCAGTGGTCTCTTTCCTTCTGGCGTTCCCACTAGTATCCTATATGCATTCCTCTTCTCCACATTTGGGCTACATGACCTGCCCACCTCATCCTCCTTGACTTGATCATTCTAATTATACTTGGAGAAGAGTACAAGTTATGAAGCTCCTCATTAGGCAATTTTCTCCAACCTCCTGTCACTTCAACTCTCTTCGGTCCAAATATTCTCCTCAGCACCCTGTTCTCAAACACCCTTAGTCTAACTCGTTGCTATGCTAATTCCAAATTTTATAAGCTCATCGCTTCCCTGTTTTATATTCATACACAACAATCAGGGTAGCAGCCGGCTGTGGAGGTGTCTAGGAGTCAGCCTACATTCGTCTTCACTATCTTCTGCTTAATTTTCCTCACTTTTTGCCAATTTGTGCCCAACTCTGTGCAAGTATTTTCCTATATTCTTCATTTGTGTTATTAGGGTGCGGTTTGTTATCTCTCTACACATGATTTTTTTTTAATTACCGTTAAGCGATTATTTACCTATGAATTAACTTCTCCAGACAGCTCAGCAGTTTGAGTTATGTAAACACAAGGAGCAGCTACCTTTATCTCTTCCCCTTCTTAGCCCACTCAGTTTCCAAGTTCCCACTTCCACCGAAGCTTACAGTTTCTATCATTTCTGGTGCAGCATTCGGCGCACTGCTTTTACACCATGTCTTTTTAATTTCTTGTTAAAAAGCTAGTGAACTCTTCTAGCCCATGATCTGAGAGAGGCAGAGAGAGGGCGATGCCACGCCCAAGCCCCAGTCTGGAAGCGGCTTCCTTCCCGTATCTGTGAATTAACAACGCGAACCCCAAGCTGTGATGGTGACCCGCTTTGGTATGAAAGGCAAATTCTGCTGATGTCGGTGGCTTTCCTCTTACATAACGTCGAACTGTAGGACTGATGATAATATATCGGTGGGGATTCAGAAGGAGGCGGTCGTGGTTTAACAGAGGTACTGTCTCGGAATTTGCCTGGTGGGACTGAGAAATATCACGTAGATTCTCAAGTCAGAATACCCGATGTCCGAAATTCGAACCGAGGACTTCCAGAATGTAAATATAAAGCGTTATCACTACTACACGCCATTCGGTGTTTTCTGGAATTCATTTTTCACTAGACCCCATGGCGCAACTACATAATCTATTTGTCCGCTTGGTATGTCAACTTACGTGAGTGCAAGACGGGTTTAAGGCTGAGGGCGGCGAGTTAGTTCCATGCCGTGCCATGCATTGGAATCCCGCGGCTATTGCGTTCATAATTCTGTGTATCGCCGATTTGCTAAAGTGACACAAATCAATGGCAAAGAGTAGAAACGTTCACTGTCTTATCCTGAAGGAGGAGGATTTTCATCCGAAACACTGGTAACTATCTGTCACATTACATGGAATCACATGCTAGAAGACAGATCTTCACGGACTCCGGAGTGGGGAAACTCTAGTCTCACTAAGCAGATCTCTCTCTCCTGGGAATAATACTATAGCAAAGGCCTAACACACGCCTGTACAACTATATACACATAGCACTTCGACATGCTCTAGAACTGTTTGGCATTATTCCTTGTGTTTAAATTATAAGCCGTTTCGAAAGCTTCACCTGCTTCCGTCATCAGGTATAAAAGGGGAAAATTTTGTATCCTTAATTTAAGGACACAATAAGGATCCTTATTTGAAGAATTAGATGATCATTAATTACAATTCAACAGCTCAGACTGGAGCATTGTACGCCTGATGATGAGCCGGTGTAAGGGTCGAAATATGTTGCGTCTGTAAAAACAAAATAAAAGCAAATGTTGATACCGTAGTGGCTTCTTTGTTTTTTAAATACAGAATTGCTGTGTAGGCTGCATACCTTACACTTTTATACATCTTACTTCTGCTAACGAATATTCGGGTTACATTTTCTGATCGACATTAGCATGACGCGCAGAATTACACCGACCAGAGAACTCATAATATTGTACCATATGCCACTTTACCGCTAACTACATATAAACGAGGATATAACAATAGCAGTAAGAAATAGACGTTGGGAAATACAAATTTTTATCTTTCCTCGTTCCTATGACATACATAAGGTATAAAACGTAGCTTGGAACGACATTCAGTATCAGTCAAAGCTAACTTCTGGCCAGAAGATGAAGAACTTCCGGATCCTGCTGCTTGTTGCCGCAATGGGACTATTGTTCCTTGCCGGTAAGTGTACAGACACATCGCCCTGTTCAACAGGACAAGTCTGGGGGCTGTACAACAGGCAAATTCTAGGGACCCTTTGCATCGCGCTAAATACGATGCAACTATTCCTTTCAGACTTGCATTGCCTTAATGATTACAAAACTGTTCATTCTCCACAATTCCCAGAAGAATAGGTTTCGTTATTTGTGCCGATTTGTCGTTTCCTTCTGCTTTATTTATCAGTATTCTTTTTATTGCTAGTGGGGTTGGACTAAGTCCCTTGTACTGCGGCCACTTCTGACCTGTTGTACCAGCCCCAGATGATAGGTGAGGGTGCTTGTGGAGCAATTGCTGGAATGAAGAAACCGAAGTACTCGGAGAAAACCTGCCCCAGCGCCACTTTGTCCACCACAAATCCTACTTGACCAGACCCGGGATCGAACCCGGTCCGCCGGGGTGGGAAGCCAGCGACTAACCGCTTGAGCTATGGCGCGGCTTTATTTATCAGTACCTGTATAAAGTAATGGTGAGGTAAACATATCTCAGTTCGTGATGACTTATGGTGGACTGGAAGAATAGCTCTGCCATTCTTAACTTCGGTACTAAATGGAGGTGAGTTGCTGGCTTCATGCCCCAGCCGCCTTGCCCTCGAGGAAACAGCTACTTGCGCGATTCAGAGCATTCTCCATACGACACTATTCGTGAATTGTTTTGCCCTATAATTTTGCAGTTTCTGAAAAAACCGCAATATAAGCTCCCATCGTAATGCTACTGAGTCAGATTACGAAAACACAGTGCTCCATCAGAGCGCTGAGCATAACGTTTGCAAGTAATAGTAACTCAGGATCTCAGGATCTCCCAGTTAGTCTCGCTGTCGTCTAGAGTATTAAGTGTCATGGAAAATGTCTGCTTATGCGAGCTGCTTGAAGTGTGAATTTTATAATTATTCCTTCAATACTAGATATGATGGCAGGATTATGAATAAATGGAAAGGAATTCCTTGTATTTCTTACAAATTTCTATTTATTCATTCATCGCGCAGCCATGTTTAGTTGATAATATATTTTGACGAAGTGGATAAAGCTCACTTGTACTCAGTATATGCTTTGAATCTGATAAAAAGATATATGGTCGGGACTCAAGGTCATGTTAACGATATATTTTCTATTGACAGATTTGACACTATGATGAAACCCATCTTCAAGTTATCGGAAATTTGTTGCGAAATGTCCAGCGACATAATGAAATAATGCAGAGTGTGGGGGGGAGAGGTCATCCGGATTAAGCGATAATCCGAATTAGTGAAGCAAAAATATCATTAAATGAAAACAATAAAAATTTAATGATACAAATAGTGCCGATATGAATAAATAAAAAATATATAACTGGAGAGACTTTATTTTAAAACTATAAAAGGACAATAAATTTATTAATCGGCAGAAGACTCAGAAGTTGAATTTGTTTTTGAACGTAATGACGCAAGTTTGAAGGAACTGTCAAGTTTTGTCTCAACAGACAAATGACTCATCTGCCTGCCTAAATGGCATCACTCTTTTGAATTATATACTCCGACTCGGCTATGAAGAGCATTTTTTAATCTCTATTATTTCAATCCGAAATCTGGACTGACAGTAACCGCATTATGGAGGCTTTCTCATATATTCAAATTTTGATAAACTGAAGCTGTAAAAATGCTGAATAAAAAATTACAAATTACTCCTCTTTTACCCAATGCACCAAAGGAACAGCCATGGAAATGGTACCAACCTTGCAAAGAGCGAAGTTTCCCCTGCAATTCGATGAAATCAATTGCATGAAACGAGTTCAGTGACAGTATTGGAAGGAATTCGGAGCAGGTTAAAGTTTCGAGACATACATTTATGAAACTACTGTGTTTCTGGACATTATCCATCGTTAAAACACAATGTTTCAGACTGGATTCTGTCTCCGTCTTCAGGTGGAATTTATTCAGTTGGGCCCACTTGGTAGAGGTAGTCCCTAATTTCGGACGTCCAGAGATAGGGACTAGAATTCAGCCTCCGAAACACAATATTTATATGGCTGTACCACAGTCACAAACGTTCAGATCTTATAATACATTTATGCATTCGACTAACAGTTCCATGCGTCAACGGAAAGTTCCTTTTGCTGCACAGGGAGCACACGGAACTGGGATGCAATCTTGATGTGCTTATATTTCCCAACATTGCACAGAGCGAAAATCTCTAAATGGAAGAATAAACTTCGGTAGTTGTGCTGCAATATATAAGTGGTTGGACGTTTCAACTTGCCTGCTTGGTTCAGAATCAATTTTTGAGTATGTAAGGAAAGTTGTGCTCATCCTGTATAATAGCGTGTTTGAAATATCCCTGGAATTATACCTCCAAAGTGGAGAGAGTGATTTCCTTTTGTCTCCCTGATATTCAAATCGAAGCAGTTGTCACTTGAAAGCATATCATGCGCGCTGGAATGGCGTTTCCTTCAGCAATGCATGAAAACTCTGACGACTCTGAGCAGGAATTTTCAAGTCCATGCAATGTTCCTATCACCGCTTCCTCATTCTCTTCTCAAGACAGGTTCAGCGCGTGTTTTTGGTTCTAAGGATGAATGACTTGATGGGATTCGGTTCCTTTTTGAGATAGTTCCTCCATATTACTTTAATTCACGTATATTCCCTTAATAAAGCGGCCCCATATCTGTTGCGTAACACATGCACGCCATTTGCATTATGCGACGCATGCGTATACAAACACAGATGTTCTGCGTGGAAACATTACTTTCATTCAAGCTAATTCACAAATAGCTCTAGTACGAAAACAATTTAGGTAAAATAAAGTATTGCTAGAGGTCACATGAGCCGGTCACAGTAGCCGCGCGGTCTAAGGCATGAAATGTCTTCATTCGCTCGGACGCTGGGATCCTGGGTTCGAATCCCACACACCGCATGGATGTTTGGTGTGTGTTTGCGTTTGTTCTGTTTGTGCTGTCCTTTGTTTAGGTAGAGGCCTTGGGACGGGCTGATCACTCGCCCAAGAGTCCTACCGTCTGTGAAAAATGATTACGGAACTGAATAAGAGGCCAGGGCCCTCAATGGGCTGGAAGAGCCATTGAAAAATAAGAGAGGTCACACAATCAGCATATACGGTAGAGTGTCACTGAGCTGAAGGTGTTTATCCCGGATATGACAAGGAGAGAGATGATGTGCCTGAAGAAAACTGAAAGCGTAATATTTTTCTTTTTCAGAACCTGGGAACAGCGCACCTGCACCACAAATAGCTGAATTTATTTGCGACAGACTACCTTTCCTACCATTCTGTCACGGTACTACAGAGTCTACACTTCTTATTGAATCTTCCCCTACCCCTCCCGGAGCCCCGGGACCTGGGCCTATCGTCGACTAACTCTCTCCCTACATCTGACTCGGGTGCACTGCCAGAAGTGGCAGCGCCCACTGCGCTGTGTTGCTTCCCCTCAGCCGCAGTCAGCTGTGGGCGCTACAGTACTCAAAGAGTGACAATTCAATCAACATGGTAAACATTCTTACAATTAGACGGAACTGCGCACGCGCACTGCACTTCATTCAAATACATGAATAATGTTTGGTTGTGCAAGTTACATGTCTGTACTCTGTTAAATTCACAGTAGACATTAAGATGTGAACAAAATGTATAATTTAATAAGCACTCTGCAATTAATAAACACTGAAAGTTTTCACAGAAAATGATTTTATAGTTCGTATATCTTACTCAGTCACTGTGCATCAGTTTCCCGTACTACGAAGTGTCAAGTTCATAAAGTTGCAGTACCGAACAAGTTGGCTCAAGCTGTGGAGCGAATCTTGGACACACATTGAATTTCGTTTGTGAGGTTTTGGAAGGTTTTCCGAGTCCCGCAAACAGCAGATGCAATTGAGCCTGGACGACTTCCCTTCCGATTCAGTGTTCACTTAGCGCTCTGTCACTCACGCTACAAATTCTTGCGGTGCTGATAGTAGCGTCAGATGCACCTTAAAGCAGCATTTCTACTCACTCCTGAGACGTTCCGCTACCCGCTGCAATATTGCTATGGCTGTCAACACAACACTCCCAAAATAAACGAACAAAGATTAATGTATTAACATTTGTTTATTATTCTGTGTGCTATATGTTTCGATCCACCTGGATAATCATCAAGCAGCTTTTGTGATATGGCACTCGATGTTGAATTGTGTTTCTTATATGGACCCATATTAACAACTGCATTAATGTAAATTATATGCGAATTTATGCATCTCGTTTTGTTCATAAATTGTAATATTCGTAATTTTCCAGGGTAAAATTAAATAAATAAAAAGTAAGTAAAGCTATCCCTGTAACACGCCATGAAGGCCCATAGGGTTGTGAGACGTTGAGGGTCCCACATTATCTAGACAATCGGCTCAAAGATGAAGGTAAGGTTGTCAGCCTTACGCGCCGGCCGCGCTTTATTCCACAGGAAAATTGTAAAATTAAATAAAGTTACTTAAAATTAATTAATAAATAATTTAAAATTTTTGACAGATTAAAAAAATGTTTTAACGTTTTAACCCACAAAATAAATATTTTCACACACACGTTGGTTGGGATTCTTTTTGTTGGTTTGGTTTGGGGAAGCAGTACCCAAAATTTGTAAGAACATTTCAGTTATACTACGTATGTATATTTTTGCATCTTAAGATAATCTGTTGTTACGAGGAAATATATGAAATTAGTACACTGATCTTACGTTGCTTATTAATGAAGTCTTTGAAATAATTGTAGTATTTTTATTTTACATATCTTTTCAGTTGCTGTGTCGTGATACACCTGTTCGTAATGTAAGTCCTTTGTTCATGGAAATCTGTATAGTTTCGACTGGTTTCTCTTGTGCAGAAATTCGCATGTTACAAGGTATACCCCACCGTAATGTTCTAATGAATCCTACTTCACTGGCTCCCCTACGTGGGGACCCATTATTCTGCAAGGCTGTTGTAGCTGACTTTGGGAGCTTTTGGAATAAAGGAATAGGAAGAAAGAACAGTGAACAGCGTTGCACATAGACGGCACGAAAGCTCTGAAAATCAGATCTATACAGCGCAACAGAATGCTCAAATGTAACATTGTGAGCTGTTTCATCATCCTGTTAAACGGGTCCGAGGAATGTATTGTATTGCTGCGTACTATGATTCAGCCATAGCGGCCTCCGTAGTTTCGAGTAACGTTACCACCTCATGACTCAAGGTACGCGGGTTCAAACCCGGCGGAGGTCGTGGAATTTTTAAGGGCGGAAAAATTCAGGGAACAAGTCCTCCGGGAGGGACTTTAAGCCGTGGGTCCCGTGTAGTAGATTTACGGCACGTAAAAGATCCTCATGTCTCTAGGAGACCTCTGAGCAAAATTAGGCAACAAGTTTCCCGCCCAAGTAGTTTCCAATGCCTCTGGTAGATGCGGGAAATATCAGGTACCGAGGGCCAACCTCGTTGGCTGAACGGGGCTGATAGGACGCACCAGTATCGGTAGGGTATGGCGACAGTAGAAATTAAAGGGGGACGCACAATGGACCAATAACTGGTCTAAGTGAAGGGGGAAACCCACCCCCTCTAATAATAATAATAATAATGATAATAATAATAATAATGATTCAGCCATTCCAACAATCCTTTTTCATATCCCTTCAGCTTACCGTTGTCATTCTATAGAAATATTCAATGACCCCTGTTCACAATTTTGTTGCTGCTTTGAGGACCTGCTCCATCTCGAAAATATTTGGAATAGAACACATGTACATATACACGTTCTTGCTTAGAATGACCGATACTATGAATTGACCGTTCCTCCTGGGACATCCTGTATAAATTTGGAGGTAACTCGAATGTAAGTCGTTGAATAATTACCGCAGAGAACATTGTTTCGAACAAATGTTAGAGACAGAAATTGGCCACAGCATTTTTTTATCCACTACAAATTTTCATAAGTTCTCCGGTTCTCTGATCATGTTATGTCAAAAATATATGTACGTCTCATAACTTGTGTATTCAAGGATTTTTCGAATAAAGCGAATTCCACTGCAATGTCTTCTGATCGACATTATTCGAAAAGAGATCCCCCCCCCCTTTTTTAAGTTTTACAAACCAACAAGTTTCACACGACATACCCGTACTTACGGCAGTGTGGCCAGCATACCGCCCCTGGAGGCACCGAAATCCGGTCTGAAGTTCCATAAATTGGCAGCAGTGACTTTACCCTTGATAGACAATTTACATTAACCAAATTTCGGATTTGGGGAGATGCAGCTATCCTGTAGAAATAATCCTTTTCCATGTTCCCATATGAGCAGAATTCAGTTGGAGTGAGTTCAGGTGATCGCGGAGGCCAAACATCTGGTCTGGCTGCGGCGTTGTCAATAGTACGTTACCCAGTAATGGCGGCAGTTGTAAATAGGAGGCCCCAGATTTTCGAGGTTGTAGTTCGTGAGGACCTAGCATGAGACCGACAATTGTACCTGCCCTATATAAAACTACTGTCTGAAATGTGTTTCTTGAAAGATTGTGGGTATTCATCAGCAGAAGTCTCGTCCTTATGAGAATTTAATATCCAATTCTATAAGAATCATCAGCAGCTGTTAGTCGAGGAAGGTTGGAGACGCCGCAACCCGCTGCTGTAGCCACTCACCCCATTCACCCCAATAACCCAGCGGTGTGTGCAGAGCTTGAACGTTCTCTACGAGGGACCGATACCACGGCCGCTCACTAAGCACACTGGAAAATTTGGTCGTGATGTTCCAGGCGCCTGGTACCCGTACCAGGGGGTAGTATCTTTCATATTTGCCACACTGCCACATCGGACCGCGTCCTTACGCTCTGCTTCTGCGCACAAAGATATGATAACGTAGCGTGTAGAGCCACTTGTAGGCAACGGATCGGTAAACACGATCCAGCAGCAACAAATCGAAGCGCAACACCAGAGGTACTGTTGGAAACTGTGTCTTTTGCTGGGTCCTTGCCGAGGGGTTATAAGGAATACCAATCGGGGCAACCGAGTCAGTTCTGTATGGGAGTCTGAAGCAGGAATAGTTTAGTTGGAAGGGAACCGCCGCTCAGAGGATTAGCAATTGTTAGAAGCCGTTACCAGGAAACGTGAATTAACAATATGAGAACATTACACTGTGTGCTCCAGTGAACTATAAAGTGTGGAGATCAGCGATAGTGTTGTAGTTACTTGCAGTTGCAGTTCGTAAGTGGTCAATACGTACAATTACCAATCCAAACTACATCGAAAGCTACACTCCTAAACGTAACAATATCTTATCTGTCGGCTCGTCGAATGAACACTCCGCATTCTCAGTCGCTCTCCGATAGCTAACATGTCTATAGCTGCATACAACACAATGCCAGAATATCAGCACCGCTGACCTCGTACGAGTTTGTAGACTGGATTATTCCTTTATAGTTCTGCGGTGTTTCCTTATAGTGGCTATACGAAGTGTTGCCTCATTCCGCTAACGAGCCATTATGATCATGTGCTCATATGGACGTTTCTGCTTAGTAGAATACCATTCTTGTGTTTTAAGTGGGTTGTTACGCCTCGCTCTGCTTATACTCCGCACGTGATGACCCTTTTGCCCTCGCTGTGTGTATGGATAAATGCAGTGGCGTGCGGTACTATTTTTGGTAAGGGAGGCAGTGGTATCTAATAAACGAACTGATAGCAATCAACTCACCAAAATTTACGTCACTTGTTGAGTCAATAAGGTCGTTTTGTATTCTGTTCGATAAACCTGTAAATACTGTACCGTTCTCAAGGTGAACGTTGAGTTTATGCTCATATTTCCTCAACAAGTGAACTAATTCCACGTAATTACCTCGGTCGATAGAATCCACACCTTCGTCACGACCACGGAGGCCAAGTTGCCACTTTCCTAAATGGCAGATGATCAATTAAGCGTTTCATTACTTCTCTATGTAGTATCGTCAGGCGCTTTTGAGTGTCAAGTTGACAGTCAATTTGAGATTTCCCGAACATAACAAGTTGCACTGTTGAAATAATGTGAGACTGAGAGTTCTAATGTCGCTTTAGTGCTTTATGAAGTTTGTTGATATCACCAAACCCAGTCTTGTTCCATACATTTTTTTTCAATGAGAAATAGTAGGCACGGCCAACAAAACAATTTTCCTATATTACGGCAACCGCATAGCCATTCTGTTTCAGAATACAATTCCAAATTAAATTTCCTCACACATAATTTGGTTTGTGCTTTAAGTTCTGGCAACTCTCATGTCGGTCGTCCTCTTTTAATAATTATTTTCTTCTCAGAAAAGTCCCTGCTATTAAACCCCCGTTTTAAAAGGCTTTCGATTGCACAGTCGCAGTTGCGTTGTCTGCCAGCATTCATTTTAGCTGTTGCCTGTGCGTGTAGTCTAATCACGCCCCTGCCCCCGTCCAGCAATACAGCACTTGCTTCCCTTAAACGCAGACAGCTTCTTTCTGATGCGTCAAAATACGGTCACAAATACAATCTTACGCCATCTAAATATACACTAACAATATTTTAATAAAACTTAAGGTTACCTATAGCACCCAACAAGATTGAAATCACACATAAACAATTAATTCTCATATAACCATTGAAAGAACACAGGCCTTCGCTTCCATATCACAGGCATTAGCCAGCAAACCGAAAGTTGCTTCCTTGCCCACTTCGTGTGCGACAAATTCTTACGAAGAATAA